GAAACTTTAGCAAGTTTTAACATCTAGGATCTTTTAAAAGAAATTTGTATTTGCTGCTTTATTTTTATTTTATATGTTTGTGTGTATCTGAGTGTATGTTTATGCACTGTGTGTATGTCAGAGTCTTTGGAGCTCAATTTGGCTAATCCCCTGGAACTAAAGAGCTACAGATAGAAACTAGAGTTTGAGACAAGGTCTCACTCTAGCCCAGACTGGACTGAGATTCACTGTGTATCTCAGGTTGGCCACATCTCAAGTCACCTCCTGCTTTAGCCTCTCTCACGACAAAATCACAGCAGTGAACCACCATGCCCAGCTGGACATTTTAGCTACCTTAACAACTCTAAAACACTGATCCCCATGGCAGCTGGTGGCAAGGATCTGCTTTGTCATTTATCGATTTTGTTGGCGATTTGATTAACTCATTTTATGAAGGTTGCTTTTTCTAAAGGGGACAGCCTCTGAAGCCCATGTTGCATTCATATTTTTAGCCTGGCTACATAGAGTTTATCAAAGACAATTTATGCTATTTATTGGCCAAAAGTTGTGCGTAAGACCTCTTGTACAGTTTGGGCGGTTTTGTGTGTGTGCATGTGTGATCGCATGTGTGCATGTAGAGGACAGAGGACAACCTCTGCTTTGCTCCTCAGAAGTCATCTACCTTTATTTTTGTTGTTGTTGTTGTTTTGAGGATGTCTCTCGCTGGCCTATAACTCCCAGAGTAGTTATAGGCCTGCAAGCCCCAGGCTCTCTGCCTGTCCCTATCTCTTTGGTATTGGGGTTATCATTGCACATTACTCTCATGGGTTTTAGGGATCTAACTCAGGTCTTCATGATTACAAGGCAAGCATTCTACTGACCGAGCCATCTCCCGAGCCCCCAAAGTAAGGGTTGTGCTGTTGTTGTTGTTTTGTGTGTATGTGTGGTGTGTGATGCTTTTTTAAAATTGGTTTTGTTTTGTTTTTTACCCTTACTACTGATATACATATATAGCTCAAATGCTGCTACCATGGTTGTTTTGTTCTATTTTGTTATTTCCCTTATGTTCAACCACCACCAAATTCCAGGCTTCCTCATCTTGATCACTTCTCAGAATGTTGCCTTGGCTGTGCACGTGGCTTCCAGCCCTGCAGGGATGCATGTGATTTGTTTTAAAGTCTGGCTCCCTTAAGGATCTTTGGCATTTGAGTACCTTATTGTTCAGAAGGATCTTTGGCACTGGAGTAGCTTATTGTTCAGGGAATGTTTAGTCCAAGAGTGTGGGTCTCTGGTATTATGGTTAACCTTGGCTGTCAACTTGACTAAATCTGGAATCACCTAAAAGGCAAGCTGCTAGACACTCCTGTGAGGGATTTTTCTTGGTCAGATTATTTGAGGCAGGGAGGCCCATCCTAAATGTAGGTGGCACCTTCTGGTGGCAGCCCAGATAATAGGACATAGAAGAAGGAAACTCTGGTTTTGCTAGCTTGGCCCCACTCCTAGAATAAAATTCTTCACTGATACGTCTTTGAGCTTCTGGTGTAGACCGAAGTAAAGCCCCTGTCAGGAAACCTCAAGGCCTTCAGACAAAATTAGGACTACTGAGGCCCCCTGCTCTGGGGACTGAGAAACATACTGGATTCTTAGTCTCTTCTATTCAGCCATTGTAGTGCAGCCCAGATTCACCATGCATGGGAATTCAACAAAATCCCATTTAAGGTGTAGTCAGTCTTCTACCAGTTCTATTCCTTTTAAAACCTTTTTTTTATTTCCTTTTATTTCATGTGCATTGATGTGTGAGTGTAGAGGGACACTGTAGCCCCGCCTCCTAGTAGCCCTGACAGGTGTGCTGGGACACGCCCATCTGCCCGTGAGGGCGTGGTCAGGGGAGGTCTAAGGTGCCTCGGGAATGCGGGAACGATTCTTAAGGGACCGTGCACATGTGAATAGCCCCTTCTTTCTGGCCCCTCTCTCTGGCCTGGCTGCCCTGCTCCCCCTGGCATGCTCTGGCTTGCATTTGGGCTGGTGTTTATCTGAATAAAGAAATCTTAGCCTTCCGGACTATGGACCATCTTTGAGCGCACGCTGCACGCAATAATCATCAGTGTGTGTAGGATTCCTTGGAACTGGAGTTAGACAGTTGTGAGCCACCATGTGGTTGCTGGGAATTGAACTCAGGATCTCTGGAAGAGAAACCAGGGGGGTCTTAACCTCTGAGCCATTTCTCCAGACCCTACCAGTTCCATTCTTACAGAGAACCCTGGCTAATACAGATTGTGGCACCAGAAAGTTGGTTTTAAAGAAACAGAATTGTAAGGATGAATTTCTCGACTTGGTGATATCTTGAGCTAGCGCCCCACCTCAATAAAACATGAAGTTACTAAAGGCTCCCTTGGTAGCATAGAGAACACTGCAATCCCATGGTGTGAACTATTTAAAGAAAATGCAGGATAAATGCATTTGATATTCCTGGTCCACCTCTTGTGAGGAGCAAAGAATTTGGTGACTCTCTATATAAAACTTTTAGAAGTAAAGAAAGCAATGATGCTGACTAGTTACTTCTAGCATCTCTGAATAAAGTAAAAAGGGAAAAGAAAAAGCTCAGGGATACGAATTAACTGTCCCTGTCTAAGGATTTCTAAGGGCACCCTGGAAAAGGGTCTTCCCACTTCCAGCAGCCATAGCACTCAAGTTGCCAAAAATCAAACTGAAACCCTCACCATACAATTGGCCAACTTAGAACAAAGCTGAGTCCAGCCTTAGAGGGTGTCAGCAGTTACACTGGAACACTGGTTAGAAAAGAGTGGAGCCCTCTAGCTTCTGTGGGAGACTGCTGAAAAGGTCATAGCTCTTGAGCTCTCAGGTTCTGGTGGGTTTGCTTTGGTTGAGGAAATAGTCTTGATGTAGGAGAAATGTGATTGCTTGTTGATTAATGGGCTGCTGATGTAAAAACCACTGATGTCATCCTAATGGGAACAAGAGATAGTTTATTCTGGAGCTATTTGGAGTGCCCATGACCTGAGAACACAGATTTGTGTTACACCAAATTCCATGTTCCAATGTGGAAGCAGTTTCACAGGGTTTTTGTTTTGTTTTATAGATTTACAGAACAAAGAAAATAATGAAAGAAAATCAACTTTAAATATATTGGTGGGTTCTCCAGAGAGATGGGTACAACAAGATGAGGACAGCTATTTTATAGGCTCACAATGCTATGTGATGAATTTTTCGCTCTTGGGTTGGTGGAAGTCAGTGACCTGCCCAGTTTAATAACTTCTAAGCGGGTTTAGTTTATTATCACTAGGTATAGTTCAGACACAGAGTGAGGCAAGGAATGGATGTCCCAGAAGACTAACACTAGCCCAAAATAAAGCAATTAGTTTCTAAACCTAGAAAATTCCAATCTCTCCACAGTACTGAAATCCATTCAGTCCATGAGACTCTTCAGACACAATGCCTTCCAGGAGGTTTTGTTTTTGTTGTTTGTGTTCAGTTGTTTGTCTCCTCACAGTCAGGTACAGCTTCTTTTCAGAAGTGCTCTCATTCACAGGCTGTAGCAATGGGACTTGAAAAGAGCATGGCTGGAAAATTGGTAAGAAAGACATTTGGGGAAGAAGTTTTTAGGTAGCTCTCTCTGGATTGACAAAGGATGGGAAGATACTTGTGTTCATCAAAAGGTGACTTCTACAGAAGAGGAGTTCAGTGATCAAGTAGATAGGATGGCCCACTCTGTGAAGAGGCAGATTCCTAGTTACTTTTCTATTACTTTGACAAAACACCATGACCAAGGCAACCTATAAAAGAAAGAATTTAATTGGGGCTCACTTATAGTTCCACAGGGTGAGTCCATGACCATTATGATGGGAACAAAGCAGGCCTGGTGCTGGAGTGGTAGCTCAGATCTTATGTATGAGCCACAAACAGGCTGCAAGGAGAGCTAACGTGAATGGTAGGGGTGTTTGAAACCCCCCAAATACATCTCCTCCAACAAGGGCACATCTCCTAATCCTTATCAAATAGTTCCATCAACTGGAGAGCAAGCATTGAAACATAGGAGCTTGTCAGGGCCATTCTCATTGAACTGTCACTGCATTTTTCTCAGGTCATCCTTGTCATTGCCCAATGGGCTCATGAACAAAGAGTCAATGATGGCAGAGGTGGAGGCTTTACATGTGCCCAACAACATGGACTTCCACTCACAAGGCTGACCTGGATATGGCTACTGCTGAATGGCAGATCTGCCAGCAGCAGAGATCAACAGTGAAGCCTCTATATGATACCTGGGACAGTTAGAAGGGTGTGGGTAGACAGGGAAAGCAAGAATGGGCTCCATAAGGAGGCGGCTTCTATTTCAGAAGCCATTTCAAGAAGAGAGACAATAGGAAGGCCCAGGGCAGATAGTAGAAACATTTTATGAAACTTAAAAACTATTTTGTATGACTTGGAATAATGTAATGCCTGTAAGATAGGAGCATGCTACCAGCTAGCTCTGGTAAAAGCTAGGCCTCAGAAGCAACCTCTGATGGACACATGCAGCTCAGATACAGCCAAGCCCAAGACAGGACTCGATACACTAATCAACTAACTGCAAGACAGTCAGCTTACCATCAGGTCCCTAGAGGATCACCCTGGGGAATAGTCCTCTAACTGGAGTGCTAGTGTTCATCTAGGAGACCACTGATTTTGTTTTGTGGGACAAAGAATGAATGTCTAGGAAAGAAAGAATACTGAGACACAGAGAAAGTGAAAGCTACGGTTTTACTGAAGCAAACAAACAACTCCTTTTGGGGTGGGAGGGATTCCAGAGCTGAGAGTTTGCTAACAGGACTTTGGATTGGGTGTTTTATAGGGCATCTATGTTCTCCCCTTTTGTATACTGGTCCTTTTAAGACACCTGCCTTGGAGAGCATGGCCTGTGGGCTATGAGGCACTTGGCAATTAGAATATCCACACGAAGCCACCTCCTTCTTCTGCTGCTCCTAATGCTGCCTGTGTGCTCCTTCAATGCAGACCAGTGCCTCTTTTGTGAAGCTGCAGCTGAGGAGACTCCGGAGCTCGCCATGGCCAACAAGAAACCCAAGGAAGGAGTCAAGACTGAGAACAACGATCATATTAATTTGAAGGTGGCGGTGCAGTTTAAGATTAAGAGGCATACACCACTCAGTAAACTAATGAAAGCCTATTGTGAACGACAGGGATTGTCAATGAGGCAGATCAGATTCAGGTTTAATGGACAACCAATCAATGAAACAGACACACCTGCACAGTTGAAAATGGAGGATGAAGATACGATTGATGTGTTCCAGCAGAAGACAGGAGGTGTCTATTAAAAAGGGAACCTGCTACTTTAATCCAGAATTTTGTTATAGACCAAGAATACATTCACAATTAGAAAGCTGCAATTTGCTTCCACCACATCCTGACTATTACAATATAGTTTTCTCTATTCTTTCATTTCCCTGTCCCCATTTCTTTTCTTTTCTTTTCTGTTTTTGTTTTTTTGGTTTTTTGTTGTTGTTGTTTTTCAAGACAGGGTTTCTCTGTGTAGTTTTGGAGCCTATCCTTGCACTCGCTCTGGAGACCAGGCTGGCCTCGAACTCACAGAGATCTGCCTGTCTCTGCCTCCTGAGTGCTGGGATTAAAGGCATGTGCTACCAAATGCCCGGCAGTCCCCATTTCTTTATTGGTGTATGTGCACAAGCATATTGCACTTTTTTTTTCTTTTTAAAACTAAATGGCCAATGTTCTGTTTTGATTCACATCAGATAGAGATGGTCTGAGGGGAAGTACTGGTTCTGTAAAAATATCCCCCTTTCTCCATTAGTGGCATGCTCATTCAGCTCTTATCTTTATTTTCCAGTAAGTTATTTTGCTCTCAATGTTTTAACAAAAGAATCCAACAACAAAATCCTTGCATACCTTGTTCGATTGGAGAATTTTAATGTTTTTCATTTTCATTGTAAAACCAAGGACAATTTTATAACTTTTTTGTACGTAGCTGTTACATGTAGGGCAATCTGTCTTTAAGTAGGGGTAAATTACTCTTGAAGAAAATGATCCTAGATAGTTTTCCCTTCAAGTCAAGCGTCTTGTTGTTTAAATAAACTTCTTGTTTAAAATCAGCTGTTCTCTTTATTCTGAGGAATATTAAAAAGGAAAATGTTTAATACCAAAAAAAAGAATATCCACATGAGATGTGTCTTCTGAATATGCTCAGTTTATTCACACAAACATTCATTATAATGAGAACAGCCCCACCCTTACTGTCACTTCTAGAGATCTACCAGCAAAATCTGTCCTTCCTGTCCCCATGACTTTGTGCTCTGTGTGCCAGAAGCGTTGGTTCCATAAAGGGTGAGTGCTTCTGCCAGGAGGCACTACAAATGTTCCATTAAACTGGAAGCTAAGACTCCTCCTCTTCCTGGCCACTTAGGCTCCCAATGCCCTTGGGTCAATGGGATAAGGAGCAACAGGACAAATGACTTATCCAGACTTCCAGGAAGAACTAGGATGCTTCTCCACCATGGAGGGAGAAAGAGTATGTCTGGAGTGCGGGAGATCCTTTAGGAAGCCTCTTGGCATTACCATGTCAATGAAAACAACCCAGTAACCCAATTCAGACTGAATGGTAAATGGCCTAAACCCCTCAGGAATGAAGGTGCTGGTCACCCCTCCATGCAATGAACCAAAATCTGCTGAGATGCCCACCTAGGGTAGGTGAACAAGTTAGGTATGTCCACACACAGGATCAGTTACAGTGATGAAGACTGTAATTGCCATAAATATGTCTGTCCATATCTTAGTTTGCTTTACATTGCTGTGATAAAAACACCATGACCAAAAGCAACTTGTGGAGGAAAGCATTTATTTTATCTTGTAGTCTGTAGTCCATCATCCAGGGACGTCAGGGTAGGAATTCCAGACAGGAACCTGGAGACAGGAGCTGATGCAAAGACCATGAGGAGTGCTGCTTACTGGCTTGTTCCTCATGGCTTGCTCTCTTATACTATCCACAACCACCTGCACAGGTAGGGACTGCCCTAAGTGAGCTGGGCCCACCCACATCAATCATTATTTAAGAAAATGCCTCCACAGGCTTGTCCACTGGCCAATTTTGTGGGGACATGTTCTCAATTGAGGTCCCCTTCTCTCTATGACTTTAGCTTGTGTGTCAAGTTTACAAAACACTAACCAGTACAATCCTGTTCTGTTAAGACTGTGAAGATGTACACACATATACATTAACGAAATATTTCTGTTTTCTTACCTCTATTTATTTATAATGTAATATAACACTAATTGAAATAATATCAGTGGTTAAGTGTTGCAAATCTATATTACTATATTAAGTTATGGGACACTGAAAGAAGAATCATTCGGCAAGGGAATTTACTACCTGTTTGGAAGAAATAATATATTTGAGGTTGTACATGAGATCACTGTATCATGTTAGGCAGAATTATGACCTCATAATATATTGTCTTTGGAAATGAAACCTGACATAAGGAGAAGTGATCAGGTGTCAAGTTGACAAGAGGTAGACTTGTCAACTGAATCAGAAATCAGTAAAAGGCAAGCTGCAGGACACTCTTCTGAGGGATTTTTCTTGATCAGATTCTTTGAGGCAGGGAGGCTGACCCTTACATGTGGGTGGCGCCTCCTGGTGGCAGCCCTTATAAAAGAACCCAGAAGAGATAAAATCAGCTTTTGCCTGCACTCTATCAAGGTGGTTTCTGCTGCTCTGCCGATTCCTGCACTAATACCAGAACCAATGTCTTCAGGCTGAGACAACCAGCCTCTGGACTCAGCGACTACACAGTTTTCTGCCTCTCCAATATGGATCAGCTATTGTCGACTACCTAGAATACAGCATGTAATCCAATCTAATAAATCCCTCCTTACTATACATTCATTCTGTCTGTTCTGTTCCCCCTGAGAACCTGAGGCACTGAAAACTGTTTCCAATACTGCCTAGCATCTTGTGACTGTCCATGTGTACAGGGGGCCCAATGTTTATGCACAGATTTCTGCCTCACAGGAGGGCTCTTCCTAGACTCACTTCTTCTAGACCTGTTATATTTCTAGTGCTTTGCCATTTTTCTTGTTGTTATCATGTAGCCATCAAGTTCTCTCTTTGTATATGTGCTCACATATACGTACGTGTGTGTGTGTGTGTGTGTGTGTGTGTGTGTGTGTAGGAGCAATCTCAGATATTGCCCCTCAGACAATGTCCACCATTTTTTGTTCTTGCTTATTTTGGGTTGTTTGTTTGTTTGTTTGTTTGGGGTTTCTTTGTTTGTTTGTTTGTTTGTTTTAAGACCTGTTTTTCACTGCCCTGGCTAGCAAACCTCAGGGATCTACCTGGTCCTACCTCCTCAGCACTGGTGTGAAAACATATGGCACCACACCTGCCTTACTGTACTTGGGTCTTGGGGATTGAACTCAGGTCCTCATGCTTGCAAAGCAAACATTTTGGCAATTGAATCATCTTCTTAGCTTCCTTTAATCTCTTACCCAAAACAAAAAATCTTTCATTATCAGTAACACTTTTAGGAATAGAATTTTCCACCCTCTGAAACAAAATAGGTCTCCTCAGACATAACTAAGAGTTTCTTCATCGGACAGGCTGATCCTTCTCCAGGAAGGACCATTGTGCCACTGAACAGAACAGGACTTAAGCTGGTGACTGTATTAATCATAGAGTTCTCTAAGGAACTCTCTCTCTCTCTCTCTCTCTCTCTCTCACACACACACACACACACACACACACACACACACACACACGATTTATTAGAATGGCTTACAGGCTGTAGTCCAGCTAGTCCAACAATGGCTGTCTCCTAATGGAATGTCAAAAATCCAGTTCAGTCCACAAAGATGGCTGTCTCAGTCTCAGCTAGTCTTCGGGCTACGATGGAATCCCAAAGAAGCAGGTTCTAACACCAGCAAGGGAATGCTTCAGGAACAGCATGGATGAACTTACCAGCCAGAGTGATGGTAAGCAGGCAAAATGCCAAGCTCTCTTCTTCAACATCTTTTCAAGTGGGCTGTCGCCACAAGGATTGGAATACGTGATGTGAAATTCACAAAGAATCAATAAAAAGTTTTTTTTTAAAAAAAAATCTCTCAACTCAAACAGCAAGGGCCAGTTGAATTCAGTGCAGAATTCTACTACACTTTCAAAGAATTAATAATACTCCTCAAATTATGTGTAAAGTACAAAAGGAAGGAATGCCCCAAATTCCTTTTACAAAGCCACTATTGACATAATACCAAAACCAGACAAAGATACAACAACAAAAGAAAGAAAATCATAGGCCAGTATTTCTGATGAACATGGATGCAAAAAAAAAATTTCAATAAAATACTCGTAGACTGAATTCAAGAAAAATCAAACAGATTACCACCATGATCAAATCAGTTTCATCCCAGAGGTTCTAGGATGGTTTAACATATGCAAGGCAATAAATGTAATCCACCACATAAAAGATAGAAAGCATATGATCATCTCATGAATTGTAGAAAAGGCCTTTGACAAAATCTAACTTCCCTTCATGATGAAAGGCCTAGAGAATGTGTAACACATCTCCACATAATAGAGGCAACACACAGCAGTTCCTCAACCAACATCTGGCTAAACGGGGAGACCCTCAAAGCATGTCCACTAAAATCAGGAACAAGACAAGAATCACTCTCTCACCTCCTGTTTAATATATACATAAAATCTTAGCTGTAGCAATGAGTGAAGGAGATGATTGAGAAGGAAGAAGTCAGAGTATCTTTATTTGCAGATGTGATTCTATTGCATTTTAGTTGCCTGTAGTTCAAAAGTATTTTAAGGACTAGCAAGATGGCTCAGAGGGTAAAATTGCTTGCTGCCAAGTCTGATGACTGATTGCAATCTCCCAAAACTCACATGGTATAAGAAGATTAACTCCTGCATGTTGCTCCACTTGCATGATTCCCACAGCCAAAAATAATATTAAAAAAAAACTAAAATATTTTTGTTAGTCCCTTTGTGTGTGGGAGGAGTAAAGTAGATTTGTTCATACAGCAGAAAAGTGTCTACTCAGATTAGTTTCATAATATCATTGGCGTACTATGACACTGGTCCTGCATCTGTTTCTAAAAAGCCTATTTATTTAAGTGTATGTATGAGCATATGTGTTCAGGTGCCTGTGAGGGCCAGAAGAGGGAGTTAGACTCTGGGGCTGGAATATCAGGTAGTTGTGAGCAGCCAGTGTGTCTGCTGGGAACTGGACTCTTCAATAACATGCACACAGGTGGAGCCATGGGGCTAAGGGTATTTTGTTTGTTTGTTTGTTTGTTTGTTTCAAGATTGGGTTTCTCTGTCTAGCCTTGGTTGTCCTAGAACTAA